CAACTCAACAAGGGTGAGTTGACCTGTAACTTAGAAGTCTCTCCAACTTTTCCATATCTTTGTGGTTCTTCCTGAGCCCCATTAGGTGAGCCTTACTCCTCACCTCCTCCTAGTCTTTCTTCATAGACTTTCTTCCTCTTCAGCCTCCCTCTCTGTCCCAGCCAAGTGCACTGATATTCTGGACTCAGATTCATCCTTATTTCATCATGAGGCACAGGGGTAGCCAGCCCCAAATCCTGCAAGTTTTTCCATTTACATAGTCAGGTTAAGCAGTTTATCCTTTGTAATTTGGTATTTGAGTAACTAAAGCATCTTCATTATTTCTGAACATTTGGGATTTCCCTCTTTGTTGCCCTGCATGGAATATTGAACATTGTCCATCTTTCTCTAAGCAGGATAGAGACTAGGAGACATTTTAATTAAAAAATATGTATATATATTCTGCAGCATTTAAAACCTTGTACAAATGAGTCATTTTGCCTGAGTCTCCCTGAACTAGTTGGTTAAAAACAGCCAAAAAAACCAAAGTGATCTTTTTTGCTTATTAAATTAGCCATTGGAGATTGGTTCTGTTTGAAAGTCAACTTCAGATAGATAGTCAATGTCTTAGAATCGGTGGCATTTTAACTAGAGACAGCAGCAAGCTAATATCCCGGTCTTGTTTATACAAGTCTTAATTTGTTTAAACCTTCCCCTGGCTTGGTAAGGAGTTTCTGAAGGACCTGAAACAGCTACCCTATGAGGAGAAAGCTGATTTTCGCGGACAACGTGGATGAATAGTTATACTGTCCAAAATTCAGGGTTTGTGGTAGGATAAATGATACGGTTTTGAAAAGGAGAGAATGCTAAAATGAGAAATTATATGAAGTCCAGGCAAAAGGGAGTGTAATCCTAGCAGTCTTTGGAAAAGGAGGGTGGTGGGAGCTTTACATACCTATGTGTGTAACTCACATATCCATAGGCTCTGTAGGAATTATAGTGTGTGAGTGAAAAGAATTTCTGTGGCATGCTTGGCATCTGGAGCTGTGTCCACCCATGAGAAAACATGGTGTGGAGTTATTGATCTCATCCAGGCAGGTGACCAGGAAATCGAGGGAGCAATGTGTTACCTACCCCTTCTTCCCAGCTGAGGTCTCCTTGATGTTCTGTGGTCAGGTCTGCCCTGGGTTATAGGAAAGTTGGCCCACATGCCCCTCTTTTAGAACTGTCTCAGTACTGTGGGCAGGGTCTGTTTATAAGCATGGAGCAGACTGGTTTTCCAGGTAGCTACATGGTGTCAAAGAAGAATTGGGTCCCTCAGCTTATATCTGAAGGAAAGAGCCAAGTCTGTAAACAGGACCCTTGTGCTTACCCAAATGAACTTCACAGAATTCTGCTTTCCTCTCCTCGCTGATGGGAAGTTTAGACAGACTTGGTTTGAATCCTTGTTGCCACTTAATAGCTTGGGAACGCTGGGCAAGTTACATGCCCTTTATCTCTTTACTGGTAAACTTGGGAGTGAAATACTTCAGGGTTACATGGAGCTGCATGTGAAGTGCCTAGCTCAGTTAGTGTCTGTTCCTGGACTGCAGATGTTACTAAGGACTCTCTCCTCACATCCACCACAACCACCAGAGACAGCTGTGACTTTCTAGGTCTTCCAAATGGGAACTTCTCAAGCTTCCCAGTGAGAGTGGTTTATTTGCCACCAGGAGGAAAGAGGTCCACCGTACTGTGATCTAGGTTACCGGTTGCTGTTGAGTCATTGTGTGTCAGAGTAGAACTGTGCTCCGCATGATTTTCAGTAGCTGATTTTCTGGAAGTACATCTACCATCTACCAGGTCTTAGAGGCATCTCTGGTGGACTCAAACTGCCAGTGTTTTGGTTAGTAACCAAGCATATCAGTCATTAGCATCACCCAGGGACTCGGTGATCTGGGTTTTGACTGTGGTAATTTCCCACTTGTCATAAATGAACATGGAAACACAATCCAGGCATCTCGAAAGCCCAGGAATCTGTCAGCCCTTTCCTCTCCTTCCCTCTAGGAGACTTCCTGGCTCCGGCTCTGGCTTTCCTCTCCCCCACAGGTGCAGCAGGTGGTATGCTCTCTCCTCATCGCCTGCTGACATGTGAATCGCTGGGGGCTCAGAATTCAGCCTAAATTGCCTGCTGTCGAGTCACATGGTAGTTTTGCAGAAAATACCCTTCCTGCTCACTACTTACATTCCTGACAGAGATTACACCCCAGCAGCCTTTACTCCGGGCCCTGCTGTCAGCCCCACACCTCACACTCCTCTTCATATGATGCGTCCGTCCACCAAGGAAATATGGTTGGGAGACTGTAATATTAGAACTTGAGGGTCATCCATTCCAGTTTTCTTTTCTCCTAGTATTCCCTCATCCTTAGTGCTACAGAACCCTGGTAGCACAGTGAGTAAGAAAGGGCGGCAGTTTGACCCCCCCAGTGAATCTACGGGAGAAAGATGTGATGGTCTGCTTCTGTAAAGATGAGTCGTGGGGATGCTCTGGGTCAGTTCTGTGCTGTCCTGCTGGCTCACTGGGTGTTGGGATCTACTTGGTGATAGCCGGTTTGGTTTTTTAGATTTTGAATGCTTTAAGCCTAAGTCTTTACATTTTTTATTTCACTGTGATCCTTTTCTCACCAAAAGCAACCCCCCCCCCCCCCGCCTTCTCGCCTTCCTACCTTTTTTTCCAGAATGTAGCTTATCTCCAGTAGCCTCCACACATCCCTCCCGTCTGTTTGCTGCCTCTCAACTTTGCCCTTGGTTTGAGGCAATGTGGATATGTGACACTACGGCAGGCTTTCCAAGGACAGTTGGGATAAAGACACAGTGTGTTTCCTTCCGAGGCCTGCATTTCTGTCCGGCACCTGCTTGCCTGCACCTCCACCCAGATACCCAAGTCAGGTGATGCTTATCAAATGCAAGGTTATCCCCTCCCTCAAAAGACAGAATGGAGTTTTGAAATTCATCTGTGGTAAAATAGTCAGTCCTTGGACCTTTACATTTGGCTTATTTTTCCAGTGTTATTTTGAATGCTATGCTTTTCAGATAGGAGATGGTCTGGTGAGTAGGAATTCTTTTCAGTTAATTTTAGTTTTCAAATCTTAAATTCTCTCCAGTTACCTGAAAATTAGTAAGAGAGGTCCTAAAAGAATCATGCCTGTCTTAGGGTTGTTGCGGTACTGGGAATACCGCTTCCCTTGTAAGCACTTTTAAGTGTTGCTCTTATTATGGAATTTTGAATCTATTGTGTGCATAGATCATCAGTTGAAAACATGCCATTCCGTGGGACATGGTAAATCGTATACTGAACATTAGAGATGACTTCTCTTTGCATTACAGGAATTTTCTAAGAGATACCCCCTTAGTGCTAATCTCTGATCCTTAACAAAATGGGAACTGAGTTTGGCAATCAGCTTCACTAGTTATGGGAACCCCAAAGCCCCAGGGTCAGCAGTAAAGCCTGTATAAGTGTTGCTATCTCATTTATATCTTAGATTATATATGCAGACACTTTTATGTGAGTTGGGGAATCTCAGAGTTAATGATACATGTCATCCTGGTGTCAGTTCCATTCCTACTGGGTGGGGGATGGGAGTCACCTAGTCCCATAAAAGAGCACCCCCCACCCCTTTTCTTTTTCCTCACCAGTAAAAATAAGTGTGTGGAGCCCCTGGGTGGTGCAGATAGTTAATGCACTCACTACTAACCAGAAGACTGCTGGTTTGAGTGCTCCCAGGGGCACCCCAGAAGAAATGTCTAGTGATACACGTATGAAAAGTCAGCCATTGAAAACCCTCCGGGGCACAGTTATACCCTGACACACATGAGGTTGCTATGATTTGGAATCGACCTGACAGCAGCTGGTTAGGTGGACCTCATTGTGTGAGCCCCAAAAGCCCAACGCTTTAAAACATGCAGGTCTTTTTCTCATTGTTTCAGGAGCTGCAAATGAAGCAAGGGTTAGACTAGTGCTCTCCAGTAGAAATATATTGCAGGCTACATGCATGATTTAAAATGTTCTAGTCAACACATAAAAAAAAAAAAGAAAGAACCAGGTAAAATTAATTTTTTAATAGTGTGTTTTATTCAGTCCATTATATCCAAACATCATTTCAATATGTAATCAATATACAAGGGATGAATGAGATCTTTTACATTCTCTGTGTTTATACTTGGGGTCTTGGTATGGTGCTCTAGGATAAGCACTGGACTGCTAGCTTCAACGTCTATGGTTCAGACCTACCCGCCACTCCTCGGAAACCCTATTACAGGGTCATTGTGAGGTGGAATCCGCTAGATGGCACTTAGCAACAGCAGCATGGTTATGCCTAACAGTTGAAATTCAGTATGTATTTTATACTCACAGTGCATCTCCATTGAGATTAGACACATTTCAGCTGCTCTGTAGGTTACTGTACTGTACAGGTGCCTTTGGACCATGTGGACCCTGAGACCTCAATTTAGGGAACTGGATATCCATAATCTCTATCCTTATTCAGCCTTTTCATTTTGTGGCTGGAATTTATATAAAGCTGAGACTAAAAGGAGATCATCCAAACTGGGACCTGGTATGTCAATGTAAGATAAGCACTGGACTGCTGCTGACCGCAAGTTTGGTGATTCAAATCCACCAGTCACTCTTTGGAAACCCTATACAGGGTGGATATGAGGTGAAACCGACTCGACGGCATTTGACAACATCAGTATATTTTTTGATGGGGTAAATACATAGATAACATTTGCCATTTCAACTTATTTCACATGTGTAATTCAGTGACTAATTACGTTTATCTTGCTTTTCAACTGTCACCATTATCCTTTTCCCAATTTTCCCCTCACCCTTAACAGAAGCTCAATATTCTAACTGCGGTCTTTTGTAAGACTTGCTTTTTCCCATACGATGCCCCCTTAGCACTGTGAGTGTCTCTGTTGATAGAGAACATTACATAAATGAAACACTATATCATGACTTTTGTCTTTGTCTCTTCTTTTAGTGAAATAGAAGATGAACTCAACTGAATTCAGTGAAGATGTAGAAGAAGGTAAAGAAACAACCCTGATTTTTTTTTTTTTCTTGTTTTTTGTTTCTTCATTTTAAGGGATCTAACTATAAATCTGTACTAGTCCAGTGATTTGGAATTTGGACTGAACATTTCTCTACATTTCCAGAAATCTATGAATGCCAAATGCAGGCAGAAGTGTTGCTGATTGTATTTTACCAATCTCTTTTACTAATCTGTCAGTTTTTATTTTCAGTTTTAGGAAATAAAGGGATATATTTAACTCTGGTCAAGGTGAAAAGAATTAAATATTGGATTTAAATTTGTAGCAATTTTTCTTTTTAATTTATTCGCTATTCTCATGTTTCTTTGTGATCAAGCTCCTATTTGGATTTTATCTGATCAGTTAGGTCCATTTTCAGTTGTGAATTGTTCATTTTGTTTTGTTCTTAAAGCGTTATTGGGAGTACCTGCTGGACTAGTGCAAACCCCAGTCGTTCTTAAGCAGCCCTGTTGTTTTTAAAAGAAATGTTTTTACTATAGTATTTTTAATTGAGTTATACGTTTACATGGTTCATGAATATAAAAAGGTGTCTCAGGAAAACTTCACATCCCCCTCCACCCACATACCTGTAATATGCATCTTAAGCATCTTTCTAGAGTTGCCTTTTAAAATCATCTTTTAAAAGATAATATTTCTTTTTTTTCCCTCCAACTCTACCCACACCACTATTCCACCAAAAGATAGTAAGGAAAATTTTGAACAAAATATTCTTGGAACATGATTTTATTATTTTAGCACTTGTGTGATAAGATAGGAATTGCCTTTTTGGAAATAGCAATTTTCTTGTGGCTAGACATTATTATCTGAATGATCATGTCAAAGGGCAGCGCACAGAAACCTGTTGCTTAGGACACTGCCAGCCTCTGAGCGCTGGTGACTGTCTGTCTTCTCTGCCACAGTTTTAAAGAATAACGCAGTCAAAGTGGAAACAGAGACGGAAGATGCTGCCTTGGACTGCTCAGTGAACTCCAGGTCTGAGAAGCACCCTCTGGACAGTGTGTTCAGTGCCCTCCAGGACTCCAGCAAACGGAAGCAATCAGGCAGCGATGGCCAGGCAGACCCTGTCCCCAGCGTGAAGAGGAGGCGGTTGATACCAGAGGTGAGGGCCCAGTGTCTTTGCTCTTTACTTGGAGTTTACCTCCTTCAAATTAGACACTCAATCTGTCTCTGCTCTTGGGCATCTGGACAACTGCGAAATCTTGGGTGTGAGAAGGCTTACATTTAAGCTGTTCTCTTTCTGGCTTAAGTTTTGAGAAGGTGTCTTTAGCTGGGATTCATGTCTTTGTTTGAATTCCTTATGGAGTAGAGGGGTCTTCATAGTGCAGTTGCTTCTGAGCTCTTCATTTTGCTCCACAAGAAGAGCAAGAACTTGACAGTTAACATATGTGTATCACTTTACCTAGTAGACTGATTCCTGGAATGTGGGGTTAGTAGGTCTTTTCTAAATCAAGTCTATCAGAGGAGCTTGATCCTTAAAGAGATTCTGTAGTGAACTTTTTCATTAAGATTATAAATGTAATAAATACCCCCTTTTTTTCTTTGGTGTAAGAAAAATCCGACTGAAATAAGTTTTTTCATAGCCCAGAGTGGAATTGTAGAAGGAAACTAAAGATCATTCTTAAGGTCAACACTGGTTTCTGGCCATTTCATTCTGATTGCTTTATTTCTTAACTGCCTGCTGGTTATCTTGACCTGAGTGAGCTGTTGAGAGAGATAGGAAAGGGCAATGTCAGACATGGAGGTCCACTCCAGCAGTCTGCAGTCCACTTGGAGACAACACATGTACATGAAACCACTCAAACTGAGGAGAGAGGAGCAGCTTTGAGAAATGAGGAGGGTGTCTGGTCTCTGGTGCCTCCTCAGCATAGCCCCTCCAGAGTCCAACAGATTCTGCTTTTAAATCTTAGAAAATCAAGTTTTAAATCAAGTTTTTCAGTGCAGCCATACACACACACAGACTCTTTGGAAGACCCAGATAAACAGTTCTACTTTGGCATGTCTGTACAAATGAGCCCAGTTTTTAAAGTTCACCTTTTATTTGCAGGGTGTGGGAGGCTTTAATTCTCCTCTCTTGGATGTTTAAGCAGATCCAAGTAAAATGAGAATGTATAGTTTGCAGGGAATTGATTAGCCTTAAATAAGTAACAACTCTCTTTTTCTTTAAATAACAAAAATGATGAGACAGATTTTTTTGTCCAGATTTAATACATTAACTTTATAATGAGGGCTTATAGTCCACATTGTGGAACATTGACCAATACATTCAGTCACTTACTTTTCACAGATTTTTTGAGATATTATTCATATAGTATGTAATTCAGTAAGTTGAACAGTTTAATGATTTTTCATAGTGGTTACGAATCGGGCTGCTAACCGCAAGGTCGGCAGTTCAAAACTACCAGTGTTTCCGCGGGAGAAAGATGAGGCGTTCTGCTCCTGTAAAGATTTATAGCCACGGAACTCTGTGCAGGGTCACTATGAGTCAGAGCCAACTGCACGGTATTTAACAACAACATAGAATTGTACAACTATTTTAACCCACATTTACTTTTTCTTAAGTTTATTTTAAATTGTAATTTATTGTCATTTCCCCTAATGATTGATATTTAGGGTTTTTTTTTTGTTGTTGTTGTTGTATGTTATTAACAATTACACAGGGATCATTCATATACATAAAGCTCATGCCCTTCTATGAGTTTAGGTTCACAGACATTATTATGAAAGTATTGAGAAGTTTTGAGTTTTACCTTCCTAAAGTAACACTTAAGAACATTTTCCCTTTTACTTCACTTTACATTTGATCCTCTTCAAGTTTACGGATAAAGCAAGAATTAAGGAAATGGAAGATAAAATTGAGTGCATCTGTATCCTTTTGCTGTGTAACAAAGCATCCAAAAGGTTAGCAACGTAAGACAACTACCATTTTATTTGTTTACGGTGTTGTAGGTCAGCTATGTGGTTCTTCTTGTTTGGCCTGACATGCTGGGCCGATTGGTCTGGGATGACATCACTTACATATCTGGGACCTCAGCAGGGATGACGAGAATGACCAGTCTTTCATTCTTGAGGCTAGTGGACTTTTCACATGATGACAGAAGAGTTCTGAGGAGCAAGAGAGAGCAAGCTCTAAAACATAAGTGCTTTTCAAACCTCTGCTTACATCACTTTTGCTAATGTCCCATTGGTCAAAGCAAGTCACATGGCTGAAGTGAGCGTCGGGTGGGAAAATAGACTCCTTCTCTTGATGGTAGGTGTAACAAAGACATATTAGAAAGAGGCATTCATAGAAGGATAGAAGGAATTGTGGCTGTTTGGACTGAGGAACAGCAAACTCTCTCAACAAGAATAGATTCTGATTATACGTAGGCTGGAGTATGACCTTTGTGGAGAACCCCAAAGTAGCCTAGCTGACTCATTTGACATATAGTATATCACTCTTCAACCTTTTATTCAATAGGTCATGGGCTAATAAAGATGGGAACACCTGTAAATTCATTGGATTTATGTTGTAGTTGAACCCTACAAGACAGCATAGTTCTGGCATTGGGCTAGACCTCTATGGGGGCTTCTGGTGGAGAGCTTTTCTGGATTTCACACAGGTGATGTGAAGGTGTGGATGTTCTTGATCTGCTCAGGCCTCAAGCTCTCTGTCAGGCAAGAGCTTCAGGTATCATCCAGAAAGTCCGGCATGCTTGGAGAAAAGGGGACCGGAAAGTACACTTGAACATTTCTAATATGACTTGTCCAATTTACATATTCTAAAATAGTCCAGCTTTGTTTTTCAGTCAAGTGGATACAGAAAGTAGTTCCAACACATTAGATTTTGGAGCGGAAAACACATGTGAAATCCTAGATTTAGTTTTGGGTGTTTTATTAGTTTTATTCATTTACCTTAGTACGAAGGAGCTTCAAAAAGTTTGTGGAAATTTTCCATTATCTTTCAGTTCCATTTTCCCATGAGTTTTTTTTTGTTTGTTTGTTTCTTTAAATTTTTTATTATGGATTGAGTGAAGGTTTACAGAATAGGTCATCAGTCCCACATTTAACAAATTATACATTTCTCCCCAAATTTTTTGCAGTCCCCTGGTATAGAAATAAACTAAGGTTGGTACCCCTCCCTCCTGTTGTATAAAAAGATTGTATGTAAGCATAAACCTTTTGGAATCCCTGAGCTCATAGTTGGAAGGTTTATCATGTGATTTCAAGGCAGCTTTTCCTTTTAAAAGTTTATGTAAATTGATGTGTTAGTAAATCAATAATCTCAGTACCCCAGGCATGTCAGAACAATTCATTAATTTTTTATTAATTTTTTTTAATTTAAGGTTTTTATTGTGGATTGAATGAAAGTTTACAGTGCACATCATCAGTTTCACATTCAACCATTTATATAACTTGTTTCATTACATTGATTATAATCCCCTCCATATACCATGAATTAAAAGTATTTCTCTCTATCCACTTTAGCTTTTTAAAAAACACACAAACAAAAAAAACCCACTCAGGCATATATAACAATTTACAGCTCCAAAGGGCACATTCTGCAAGTCTGCTTCTGGCCACCAGTTCTCAGTTCTTCTCTTCTTAGTTGATGAATCTTAGAGTCCTCAGCCGCGCCCCCCTCACCATGCCCCCATCTCTGCCTCCATCTCTGGCGCTGCTGCTTTTCTGGATGAGGTCCCACATTCTGCTTGTGCGTGCCTCTCTTGATGGTCCTAGGGTCCTCTGTTTCTGGACTGTAAGATTAACCACTCCCCTTTTTTTTGTTAAAAAACTCCTACCTTTACAAGTGTGACAGTCGCGATTAGTCATGATAACAGTTATTTACTACTGAATCTTACGAATCTTATCCCCATCGTCTTTCACCAGACCCATCTAGACAAGATAATAGCTATTCAGTGGGGACTCTTTTCTCCCCCAACACTCTTAAACTAAGCTCCCTCTTGAAACCTTGTAAGCCAGTCACTTCGTGCCTTTATTGCCCCCTCATTTAAATAGCCAATGTCTAAGTTGCCCATCCCTATCTACCCTGTGTACAGAGTGGATAGCATTGAAACTTGATTTGAAGACTCTCTGTTGGTATTTAGAGTAAGTACCGCTCTGAGTATAGGTCAGGTTCGTCATGAAGATGCATTATCTGTCACTGTAGCTGTCCCAGTCTGCTTGCCCTTTCTAGTGGGAATGTCTCACCTCACAAGGTTGTGGATGGGACTCAGGATTCCACCTAAGGTCCTATACTCTGGAAAGGCTTTGCATGAGGCCTATTTCACTGGGCAAGTTGTAGAACCCCTTCAATTCATTAATTTTATGAAATTATAGTATATGTTGATTTTACAAAATGGTTGTTGATGTTAAGTGCTGTCGAGTTGGTTCTCACAGTGACCCTGTATAGAGTTTCTGAGGAGTGACTGGTGGGATTGAATTACCGACCTTGTGTTTAGCAGTCTGGTGCTTATTCTCCAGCTCCACACCAGGACTCTGTTTCAGATGGTGCTAATTTTACATAAAGAGCAAATAGTCTTTCATTGCCCTCCCTCTATTTTTTTTCTTTTATCCTTCATCTACATGTGGGGATAGGGGTCAGGAGAGGAGGCATATGGTGCTTTCATCGGCACTTTTATCACCAGGTGAGATGAGAGGAGGTGGGAAACTGAAACCAGAAGTAATGAGAAAAGTGGAACGAGTGGTAATCAGAACATCAGGAGGTGCGTTAGTAGTTCCTGAGGACCTGCTGAATAAATAGTTCTATTCCTAATATGCTCGTTTACTGAATCCATATAACAAACCAACAATGGAAGAATAAATACTTCTGTCAGACAGATGAGCAAAATGAAGCATATAACTTAAAATTAAGTGCCGGGATGCCATCAGAGCAGACTTGTGCCTTGTGTGAACTTCAGGAGTGATTAGGCAGACTGTGGCCCCCTCTTCCCATCTAGGGCAGTGAGGCACACCTTTTCGGATTCTAACTGTAAGTACAGTACAGTAAATAACAGAATGAGCAGAGACTCTGGAGTCAGATGAGGGCGTAATTTACCTTGGGACTTCAGGCCAGTAATGTGCCCTATTGGAATCTCAGGTTCCTCCATTATAATGTGTGAC